TCGGGAGAGCTCGTGAAAACTCGACGATAAGGTACCTGACCTCCCCTAAAACTTTCTCAACGGATTTAGACGATTCACAAAAATGATCAATTTAAGAAATAAAACGGCGGATTTCCGCGTATCCGCGGAAAATTGCCATCACTGACTATATAGCAAAATCAAATATACACAAACAAATGTGAACAAAAATGCATTTAATAGCTTAAACATTACCGGCGTCATCCTGGCACCTCCAAGATCATCATTTTCATAAGATCAAATAAACAGGTTTCACAACCATTAACATTGCATCGTCATAGAGAGCAAGCCACATCAACACTAAACTGCTCAATCATTTGTAAAAAAAATAACCCAATGCAGATGTGTGGACTGACCAATAGTGTAGAGTTGTGATTTGCCAACTTTTGACAGGATGTTTGGGCACGACGCCAGCGATATGGCACGTAGTACGTCACATATACAGTAAGAGAGAGGAAGAGAAACTCCAGCTGTACTATGATGTGGTCATCGATGTCAAACTTCCAAAATCGTAGCGACACTTGGGTGAGCCACACTCGCAGCTGAAGTATTTACTCTTCACCATCCAGTAGTGATCGCCATAGTCAAACCTGATGAACAGAAATCATGAAATATGTGATGCTATCTTAATTTCAACAGTCTGAAAAGCAAGCCACACAAAATTCCTTACAAAGATTTTACATGGTTAATTTCAGTACTGTGTACAGCAGGGGTGTCAAACTCAGGTCCTGGAGGGCCGCTGTCCTGCATGTTTTCCAAGTCTCCCTGTTGCAACACACCTGATTCAAATGAAAAGGTTCAATGTCAGGCTTCCGCAGAGATTGCTGATGATCTGATCATTTGAATCAGGTGTGTTGCAACAGGGAGACTTGGAAAACATGCAGGACAGCGGCCCTCCAGGATCTGAGTTTGACACCCCTGGTGTAGAGCATTGAGGTCAGTTGGGTTCAACGGACGGTTAGATCACTGACCCGATCTGGTCACCAGCTTTAATGGCTCTGCTGGAGAAGAAAGCAATCCGAGGGAATCGCAAATCCTGATGCATGGTGAATACCTTCACGGGCAATAGGTTGGGCTCACACAGATGGTTAATGAAGCGGCCAATGTTCCCAAAAAGTCTCGCATCGATGCAATGTATGTCATCTACCTGCACGGGATGACAAAGACAACAATCTTTACTTGATCTCAATGTCAATCATGTTCTTAACATGATCAGAGAACACCGTAAAGCTGTCAAATGAAGTCAAGTGCTCATCAACTAAAAGACTCGGGGTGTGGCTGCGATTACTCTGCAAATGGCTACGACATGGATGGGTTACCGGCGACGCGCTGGCTACCCACACTCAAAGTAGTCCTCGATTAATTTTGGAAATTAAAAATGTCCTAGCAGTTTGAAATGGCAACAAGTGTTTGCTCACCACAACATGTCAGACATTGCTTACTAGTGCTTCCAACGCAAAGACCGTACTGGGACGAAAACCAAATTTGATCAAGAAAATTGTGTCTTTAAGGTAAAATGGGAAGCAATAATTGCCCACCAAAAAATTCTGGCTGCAGGGAAATGTCCGATCCCAGTTTGTGCCTTCAAACTTCAAGCAGTCTTGTGTTATGCAGAGGTGCAACGAAACCCAAAATTGCCAGCAAGTACACATTGGAATGGCTGAAAAAAAAACCCATCTGGAATGAAATCAAATTGCAAAGGCCATTCATGCTTGAGGCCATTCCAATATGAATGGCTTCATGAATGCTCGTTGTGTATTTGTAGCCAACTTAGTCATGTTAATAGCAGGCTAATATAGCTCATAAAGATACATACAGAATGTGCTGCCTTCGTTATATGGCTTTTAATTTTTTGCAGCTCCAGACATATTTGTTTTTTGTTTAGTTTGGTCCAATATAGCTCTTTCAACATTTTGGGTTGCCGCCCCCTGAGCTAGAGCATGCTTTTGTGATCTCTCAGGTGGAATATTATAACATTCTGCTGCAGCAAGTCTCTAATCTCCAGTTGGTCCACTATGCTGTGGCCCACTGCAGACTAAAACAAGGAGGAGGAGGCACTCCCACTTCCAGTGCCTCAGACAATACCAGAGATGAAAGTGGACTTTTCTGAAAATTCCGGAAAAAAATAAATAAATAAATAAGTGTATGTGTGCGCGCGCGCACACGCACACACGCACACACACACACACACACACACACACGCGCGCGCGCGCGCACTTGGCCGATCAAGCATGAATTAGTTTACACAAAACGCTATTCAAATACTCGACATTCAATGATTAATCTTCCTTTTGTGTGCACACGTGTACCCTTTGTGGCTTCCGTTCGGGCCAAAATTTCGAAATCTCCAAGATATGTGAAGGCCATGAGAATGCGAGGCGAGGGTATTACTGTTGTGGCGCAAATGACGTCACACACGACAACAGCTAAGCTAAGTTAGCCGAGACGACACTATGTCGGACGGACACGATTTTCTGCCAATCTGTGTTTTTTCCCTTTTTGGCCAACTATATTTTTTTTTACTACAACTGTCTTGTCGACGGCGTCTTTTATTCGTTCCACTGGGGTTTAGCGGGTGTGTTTATAAAGAGACGAAAATTGTTTGGGGACTATCCCCCACGTTCTAGTTGAGATGGTATCACCCAAGAGGCAAAATGACGCTTGCTACTGTTGTTGCGAGTTGCCATTCGTTCGACTAAACCATTAGTCAAACGCCATCATGCCTTCTGTCGTTATTACACAAACAAAAATCTCTTTACTGTTACTCGTGTTAGTGCCTCAATATGGCTACGCTCGTGAAAGCAATACAACGAACTCAAACGCGTCTTCGTTCAATGTTGTCAACTAATATCCGGATTTTGCAAATTTTCCTCAATTCTCCGGAGAAATTTTCATAAAAATTTGAAAAACCCGGAATTCCGGGAAAATCCGGAGGACTTTCATCTCTGCAATACTGACCTGATCGCAGGCCACTGACCGCAAGCTGTCCATGCCCGATTTAAAGCAACAAAAGACTTTTGTGCATTTGATCTTCCCCAGATCAGTGTGTAGCTGGAAGTGCAACCACAGTCAACCCACCTTATCGTTAAGTGTAAAGAGGAAAGAATCATTCTCTCTTGTGTTAGCCTCCGTGTCGGTTATGATCTCACCAACATACCTGCAAAAATAGGAAAGGAAAACTTATATCTCTGTTCAAACATAAGAACCAAATTCATTGTGTAAATTAGAGCCATTTTCCTCACTCGCAAATAAATGTCCCCTGAGGGACATCCTGCATGACTCTCACTCCCCAGCCCATTTTCTCTGTTTTGAAGAGCTGAAGACGGACTCTAGGGACAAAAAGTTACATAATTATCAGAAAACTTTTTAAAAAATATCATCAGATAGACGTCACGTACAAAAATCCCTGAAAGGGATTCTTAAATGCATATTATTCCGTATGCTATGAGGCATTTTATTAGATAACCAAAAGGATATATATAACGCTATAACGCTGACAAAAAGTCAAATTTAACAAAATATCAACATAGGCCATCTTGCCCTGCAGTGTGAACGCAGCAGGGCTCTACTCTGCTTCCGACTTTTTCAGTTGGTCGCACCAACACAGATTTGGTCACACCCTGAAAGAACATGACCATATTTACTGATGTATCGTCATCTCAATTGGCATACCATAATTTTATATGATGTAAGGATTGACCCTGAATCAATGTATGATTTCCCACAGTGCTTAGTAGGCCAGGCTCTGTAGCATCCCCGACATTTTTTTTATTTTTACTAAACAGGCCAGGTTGTATGTTTCACCAAGATCTAAGCAAAGTTGGAGGCATATGTAACAGCCCAAGACCTACAAAAAAAGTCTTTTGGGGGTATATGCTAAACGTGACAGGACATTTTGAATTTTCTTTCAAATGTGACCTTAATTTTGGCCTTTATAGCTGCTTGCAGCTCTGAGTTTTGCCATTTAACAAGCTTGCTTGACTGATCATCAAAGCTCCAATTTGTCGTTGACGGAGGTCAAGGTGAACCAAGAAATTATGTTCAAAGTTTGTATAGATTCTTTAAGTGCTTTTTAGAAAGCTGTTTCAATATCCTGCCTCACATCAAAGCTCCAGAGTTTCCACAGTAGGAATATGTGTTGTACTGCTTCTCAAAAGAGTTTGTATGCTGGCAGAGGTGCAGGTGGGTGTGTCTTTGTGACCACGTCTCTCGGTTATTTCTTCCGACAACTTTGCCTCTGTGAAGCCAAAGAGACCAGTCTGACGGTAGTCAACTTTGAGTTCCGTTATTGTGTTGCATCATGACCACATTGCAGGAAAAGGCAGTCTTCTACCTCTGTTTCATCACCCCCTGTGTAGGGCTTGGATAAAAAAAAAACAACTGAGGCGGATAGGTCAACTGCAAAACAAAGACCAACACAAGATTTTTGCCCCAAAGCTTCACAGGCACCCTATCACAGCATCCACACAGACATTTCCAGCAAACGGGTAATGCTAGAAATGCAGTCAACACATCCTTAAAACTGTCTTCTTGCACCATCAATTTAAGTTGACACTGCAGTCAAGCAAACAAATACTGTTAAGTCAGACAGTTTTTTTCCTGTCAGTGGTCGCCACAGTGATGATACGGTGAGCATTTTTTACATCACGTTGGGCATTCACATCCTGACACAACCTAATCACTTTTATTGGGGCTGGGCTCATGGCTGTAAATCAACATAAACCGTATAGAACCTTGCCTAGCGGCCCACCCGGATTTTGACCGTTCCCTGAACATGATTTGAAATTCATCTCATTAGTCGATTATTCCATGGAATAATGTGATAATGACATCATATGATGATAATCGATTCTAAAATAAGATTGGATAGTGGCAGCCCCGCACCTCTGGATCCCCTTTCCCTAAAAATCCATCTGTAATGATTCCTCAGTAGATACGAAGGAATTCCATTCAGGGAAGAAGGTGTCGCTTGTTGAACCAACGAATTAGGCCTCAAATCCAGCTGAGCCTCCTGTGAGTAAGTGATTCTCCCTCCATGGAATGCCAGTGCAACGCAAGTACTTGACACCAGTTCTCGGACTTGTCATTGAATATTGTCATGGTGATTCAGTGACATGTCATTGAAAACTACAATGCTGCTCAGAAAATACAAACATGACTCCAAAAAAAAAAAAAAAAACTATCCAAACACAAAAGAGCACGAAGACGCAAGTTATTAGGCGGAGAAGAAAAGTTGTGTTTTCGGTAACCCGACCGACCGAGAATTTCTACGTCGAAAAAAAAACTTTACGGTCGGCATTTTTTTTCAAACAACCCTCTACATTTTTGTATAGAGGGTTTACATCGGTGCAAACTCTCGCGATATTCACGTTGAGCGCGTGCGTCGTTTGCCCTGTCATCTGTCAACAACATTGAATCACGGCGGCGGCCGCGATCTCCGACGACAGTTTAGACTGCGTTTTCTGTGTTACAGTCGCATGCTCGCACCGTAATGTTAAGAAAATAGCATCCATTGATGTATCGAAAAAATTCTGCGAACTATTTGATGAACACCACGGGCCGAGTAAAAACCGAGGGTGGAGGAGGACGGCGGAGGAGGACGGCGGAGGAGGACGGCGGAGGCGGCGGCACGCCCCGGCCCTCCGAGTCCAGAGCGGGGAGAAAACTAAATAGGTGGCCGCGGCGCCGGGTACCCAACTCTCGGCGGCGAGCAGGGGGTTCAATGTCTCCTTGTTTTATGTTTTATGGTTATTTTGTTTAAATTTTTGATGGAACAAAAAAAGATTAAAAAAAAAAAATAAAAAAACTTTGTCCGACATACCGACCCTATGCTGAAATCTCATGTTACCAGAAACACACTAGCTTTTTTGTTTGGCCTTACAGAGTAGAGCCCAAAAATGTTGTTCGAAAGGTTACAAGCAGTCAATGTTAGGGGAAAAAAACAATGCATGCAGAGAAAACAATCAAAGCCATTTGATGTGTACCGGTCATCAATTCAAATCATGAGGTGGCGGGCATTACACACCCCTATACAGTGTAAGATATTCAGGAAGATATCCTGTATGATTGAATGGGGGTTGTACACTTAGAACCATTAAAAACAGTCACGATTTTAGACCCCCACATTTAGACCCCTACATTTTAGAGCATCTCACCTCAGTCCATTTTGAACAACTCGATTCTTGCAGGTCCTCCAACATGAACAGGCGTGGTTACACTCAAAGAGCACTGGAGGATCCTGCTGACAAAAGTCCAGCAACAGGCGGCCCTCCTACATGCACACAAGCTTTGTATGATTGCTACTGATGACAGAATTATAGCAGGATGTTGCTGCAAGTGCACTCCAGAAAACGGAGAACACATTTGTCAAACTTACACTATCATACCAACATTGCAGACTGAGCTGACCACAAGTGCAGGTACTGGATGAGCAGTCATCTGTGCAACTGCAATGCTAAATGAGACAGTTAAATTGATGTTTATATGAACGATGGAAATGATCAAATTGAATTTCTGTTTACTCTGTTTCATGGGGAAACCTGAACATATGGGACTTTGCTTGCATCCATGGTCATAAAACTCAGAGATGTGGCCATTAGGGGTAATATTCAGCACAGAAGTCTAGCAGGCCATTTGAAAACGGCATTTAACATCGTAATCCATAATTATAAAGCAAAAATTAAAATTTTAAAATAATGTAACAAGTATGCATGCTTGTACTGCACAGAATACTCCATTTGGTAAAATGTCCAATCTGGATTGGCTAGATGATTTGTATCAGAATTGACTTGCAATCGCCTACATCCATTTTCCTCTGCTTATCCAGCAGCGGGTCGTGGGAGAAGCAGTTAAATTAGGGATGGCCGTGACTTCAAGGTTGCTGGCCACCTGTTCCAGGGGGCGCCAAGACATATCGAGGCCAAATGTGAGACATCCTTCCTCCAGGGGTGTCCTACATCTCCTTCTGGTTGAACATGCGTGAAACACTTCACCAGGTTGAAATCCAGAAGCCATCTGAGATACAGTAGATGTCGATCACTCATTCTTCTCTCTCCATCCCTCCCTCTATCTCAGCCCTGCCCTCCTTGTCTCTCCATTTCAAACCCATCGAGGCAGGAGTCCAGCCAACCCCGTGTTCTTGTTCTGTTCAATGTTTCTCCATTCTTATTGTCATTATTATTATTCCTCCTCCATTATTGAGTGCCGAAATCTTACCTGCAGGTGAGTTATGTCCTTGTTGATGTTCACCAGGGAAGTGACACAGTTGTCTGGTATGTATTTAAAGTTTCCAGGATATGGCTCGTTGTCAACACCATTGACGCAGTTTATGGGAACTTTCTCATACCCCCGAGAAATATCTCTAAAACAGGGCAAAGATATCGAGAGATCAGACACCTGAAATGGTCATATTCAATCTGTATCAAAACGGAATCCACAACTTCAGCCAAACATACAATCCATACAGTCAAAACCAGGGGTGCCCATTACGTCGATCGTGATGGACCAGTAGATCAAGGACTGATCCCAAGTCGATCCAAGGGGTGTAGAGGGAAAAAAAAACATTTGTGTCTCTGTGCATGTTAGTAATATATTGTTTGTGTTAATGCACACTGCACCCTAATCATTCTATCAGTCTCACTTTCACAAAAAGTATTTAAAAAATAAAATAAAATAAAGCAGGTCATCTTTAACCTACGGTGACGTGTGACTGCGTCCCCAGAAGTTGTTAGCGCTCAGCAGTCTGCAGTTGCAGCTTGTGATCAGAGTTGTTGCACTATATCTTTTATCGTTATCATTATTCTCATTCAGTTTGTTTTGTACAATTCACCGAGGGGACGGGCAAAGAATGGGAATCTGGAGGGTCGAGAGAAGCATTTTAAAAGGGTACGCATGAGCTACGATCGTTAACAGGCTGCCTAAGTGCGTCGCATGCCTCAGCGTCAGGCTATTGCTCATATGGTATGCGTGTGTATGCGTGTGCGTGCATATGCGCGGTAACGGGTCGATCGCGGGAGGTTGGTTGATCGAAAAGTGGATCTTCGGTCAAAAAAGTTTGGGCACCCCTGGTGTAAACTGTATCTGAATGGGACATTGTCATCATGTATATCATTTTAAAATTGATTGATCACCTGCTAATTTAGTTAGTTTGCCCACTTAACAAGCCACAGTGAGTGTGAAGGTACTTATATGGTGAATAATGTGAACTCCTGCCAACCTGTCTAGTTGCAGTTCACCATAAACCAAGTCAGGTTTTTTTCCTGTGGAACTCATCCTCAACAGTTTGCTGACAAACTCACCTATTTGCAGTATTTTTGCTTCCTCTCTATCAAGCCCTACGTTGGTACAAGATAACACCAAAGCCTGTCTAAGCAGAAAATAGTACCGTATTTTCACGACCATATGGCGCACTGTATTATTGGGCGCAGCCAGGCATGGTAAAACATACGCCAGCTTAAACATAAGGCATGCATGCACGCACGCTAAAAACACGTTAGCTTGAAGCATACGGTAGCATGCTAAGACATACAGATACATGCTAAAAACACGTTTTTAAAAAGGCAACGGAAGCAAAACTGAGTTCGGTTGTACTTTATTTAGCCATCTTACAATGTACTCACGTTTTTCGATCAATCATCACCGAGAAATCCATCAAAGTCCTCATCTTCTGTATCCGAATTGAACAATTGTGCAAGTACCGGTAATCCATCAAAAACGCCGGGTTCCCTCTCGTTGCGTCCACTTACACGGCCACCCTTCACTCATTGGCAGGGGACGATGGATCAGCGTTCACGTCGCGTCCCCCGCCAGTACCCAGGCCCGCCTGGGGAAGCTAATGATCCAACCAGCAGACTAAATTCTGAGAGACGACGCCAAAAAGCCAAGTCACAGAATCCTAGTCACAATCCTAAAGCCAATAGCAGACAGCCCCAAGAGCACCTGGCGGTAGGACCGGCCCTTTGCATATTACAACTCAATGTCGAAGGCCTTTCCTTAGCCAAGCGAAGCCTCATTGAAGTCCTTGCTTTCCAACATTCTGTTGATGTCATTTGTCTCCAAGAGACCCACATTGGCACAGAGGTAGCAGGCCGATACACCATCAACGGCTATGACCTCTTGTGCTATACACCCCATGCCAAACATGGACTTGCCACCTATGTGCGGTCTGAAGTAGCCGAAGCAAACCACCTGACAACAACACAGTTCTCAGATGCCATAACCATTAGTGGCTTTCACATCGCTAATGTGTATAAGCCCCCGAGTGCCAACTGGGATCTGCAGGTCTTGCCCACTCTTCCCCACCCTGCCATCTACGTGGGGGACTTTAACAGCCACCACCCAGACTGGGGATACCCAGCAGTGGACTGTGATGGTGAGGCGCTTTCAGACTGGGCATCTAGGAATGACCTTGCTCTGATACATGACCCCAAACAAAGAGGGACCTTCCACTCAGCCAGGTGGAACAAAGACTACTCCCCTGACCTGTGCTGGGTCAGCTCTGTGAGTGGAACCCCCTACCCCGCACAGATCCTGGTCCTCGACGACTTCCCACACAGCCAACACCGGCCTTCGCTCATACATATCGGCCTACAACTCCCAGTCATAACCAGCCCAAGGAAGATGCGCTGGAACCTCCGCAAAGCCAACTGGCAGAAATACCGCCAAACCCTGGACCGAAGTATTACAACCATCCCACTCCACACCATCACGATAGATGAAGCATACAACCGCTTCTGCAGTGCCATCTACAAGGCTGCCCACACAGCTATCCCAAGAGGCTACCGACCCCTCTACATCCCCTGCCTGGATGAAGAAAGTGCTGCCCTCCTACAAGCCTATGAAGCATCAGGGGACCCTGAAATGGCAGACCACCTCATAGAATCGCTGACTACAGCCCGGCGGAAAATGTGGGAGGAGACAGTAGCTGACTTGAATTTCACCCATTCCAGCAGGAAATGTTAGAGCCTCATCCGCCGCCTAGGAGCCGCACAGAAACCTCCTACCCAAAGAAGACCGGCCGTCACACCCAATCAAGTGGCATCCCATCTACTGGCCATAGCAAAACCAACCCAAGACAAGCACACCAGAAGAGCAGTGACAGCTGAGCTTAGGGAACAACACAAATCACCCAAAGAGGACGACAGTCCTGAGCCTCCTGACCCTTTCGAGAGTGGTGAACTGGAGAAAGTCCTACAGGGCCTGAAATGTGGGAAGGCAGCCGGATATGACAACATCTTGCCGGAGTTTATGAAACATCTGGGCCCTCAAGCTGTAATCTGGCTGACCAAATTCTACAGCAGAATCGCACGGGACAATGTGATTCCAAAGAAATGGCGCACAGCCAAAGTCATTGCCATACTGAAACCCGGCAAAGACCAGAAACTACCTGCAAGCTACCGCCCAATCTCCCTACTCTGTGTCCCCTATAAAATCTTGGAACGTCTAATACTCCAGCGCATATCCCCAGGAGTAGAGGACCTTATCTGTGTGGACAAGGCAGGCTTCAGGAAGAACCGCAGCACAGGAGAACAAGTACTGGCCCTTACCACGTTCATCGAAAATGGCTTTGAGAAAAGACTAAGGACCGGGACTGTGTTTCTCGACCTCACAGCCGCCTATGATACAGTCTGGCACAAAGGCCTCCTTCTGAAACTTGCAAAGGCTCTCCCTTCCTGGGCAACGACAATCATTACAACCCTCCTGACCAACCGGAGGTTCAGAGTACACCTCAGCCAGAACAACAGTTCTTGGAGAACACAGAAAAATGGACTCCCCCAAGGCTCAGTTCTCGCTCCAACACTGTTCAACCTTTACACAAACGACCTCCCCTGCACCAAATCCCGCAAATTCATCTATGCAGATGACATCTGCCTGGCATACCAAGCACCAGATCTGGAACAGCTGGAACACGTGCTCACAGAAGACCTCGGCAAACTGGACCAGTACTGCAAAACCTGGCGGTTAAAACCAAGTCCTGCAAAAACTGTCTCCAGTGTATTCCACCTGCACAATGCTACAGCAGCCAGAGGACTGAAGATCTCCCTGAGTGGGCTTGAACTTAAGCACGCCCCTCACCCCACCTACCTTGGAGTGACCCTTGACAGGACCCTTTCCTTCAAGCAACACATAAAAGGAACGGCGGCTAAGATCAAGTCCAGAAACAACCTGCTCTGTAAGCTCGCCGGCGTAAAATGGGGCGCTTCCACTTCCACACTGCGCACCTCAGCCCTGGCCCTCGCTTACTCTGCAGCGGAATACTGTGCTCCTGTTTGGTCCAGGTCATCTCACACACACCACGTGGACACCCAGCTTAACTCAACCATGAGAATCATAACCGGAACAATTCGTTCAACACCACTCCCCTGGCTACCTGTCTTATCCAACATTGCTCCCCCACACATTCGGCGAATAGCATCAACCGAAAAGATGCTCCAAAATGTCAAAGTCTCACCCCACCTACCTATTTATCAAGACATCCTTAACCCACCCACGGCCCGACTCCCATCCAGACGCCCCATCTGGAAGAACCCCCCACCAGCTGACTTTACCATCCAGTCAGCTTGGAAAAAGGAATGGGACTCCAAGGAGATCCGCAATAAACATCTGGTGTCAGACCCCACCCATCCTGTCCCTGGCACCGAGCTTCCACGGAGACAATGGTCAACCCTCAACAGGTTCAGGACTGGACATGGCCCCTGCTTGGCCAGCCGCCACAAATGGGGCAATTGCCCCAGCCCACTGTGCGCTTGTGGAGAGGAGCAGACAATGGAACACATCATCGAAGCTTGCCCTCTCCAAAAACTGAGAGGAGGGCTAGCCACCCTCCACTCAGCTGACCCAGAGGCAACTGCATGGCTGAAGGACTTTGCATTGGCGGACTTCTTCGCCGCATGCCTGTCCTCACTCACTTCCGCCTTTTCTCTATATAAACAGCGTGTCGGCTCTCAGTCAGGCTTTGGAACTCGGCGCATACACAAGGCATTATAAGGCATCCTGTCCATTTTGGAGAAAATTTAAGACTTTCGCCCACCCTTCACTGATTGGCGGACTTCTTCGCCGCATGCCTGTCCTCACTCACTTCCGCCTTTTCTCTATATAAACAGCGTGTCGGCTCTCAGTCAGGCTTTGGAACTCGGCGCATACACAAGGCATTATAAGGCATCCTGTCCATTTTGGAGAAAATTTAAGACTTTTAATGGCGCCTTATAGTCGTGAAAATACGGTAGTTGATGTGAAGTAAGTACTGTATGTTGAAGTGATGCATCTTCACTGAGAGACAAAGACCTTTGTATGTTGGGGACGAGCTAAGTTTAGCCTGAGTTGTTCACGGAACGTGAAAAAGAGTATTTCCCACATGAGTATGTTTTTGCTCTGCTCAGTGGCAATTTGAAAGCACAAGCTAAAAAATGATAATATATCTCTTTATTCCTTGGCAATTGGCATTTTTACTGGAAATAATCTGGGTGGGTCTGGGATCAAGTGTTCCACAAAAAGGGGTTCAAGTACAGTCAGGGGTGCGGACTGGGGCAGCCCGCGAACAGCAAAAGTCTGCATATTATTGGCAACCATTGATGTTTTTTTTTGTTTTTTTTTAACCAATCCTCTCAAATCTTCAGAAAATGCTGACAAACAAATAATTTGGGGGCATGGATGGTAGACAGGAAAAATGTAATTATTCATCAAGCCGTTGCAATTCACAGCCTACAAATGGCAGCAATGACAATGAATTGGCAAGAGTGAAGTAAACAGTACACAGGAAGGGAAACCGGTATTTACAGATTGAACATGGTGAAAGGCATTGTGGGAGTACCTGTATTCAAATTCTCATTACCGTCAGAAGGAGTGACATCATTTTTAGCACACGGACTCATCACGTGCTCATAAACAGTCATGGAGGAAAGAGAGACTTGTGTTTTCAAGATGGAAGTACAGTCACTATTTTCAGCTAAGTTTATTGCACACACTGTGTTGTCTCCAGAGGTTTTGTAGCTTCAAAGACAGACATACAGATATTTAAAAACAACAACAACATGAATCACAGTGCAGTATTCATTCAGGCTTTAAAGCAGGGGTGTCAAACTCATTTCACGTTGTGGGCCACTTACGGCCTCGGTAGATGTCAAGTGGGCCGGACCATTAAAATGATACTTTTCTCTGCTATAATTAACCAAAATAATATGTCTTTCCTTTGTTTTGGTTTAAAGAAGCACAAGAACATTAGGAAAATGTTGAAATGTAATGAACATATCTTTTACAAAACATTTCAAGAAGCACCTTAGACTTCCTTAGACAAATGTGCAATTTACTTTTGTCATTCACATATATGCATTGCAACTGATCCCACTGATTGTACAAAGGCACAAAACTTTAACAAGTAATTGGTCTTGAAAAATATAGTAATGCACTTTGAGATTAAACGAGATCTATAACGAAAGGAATTTTTAAACCATTTACACGTGCATATAAAATCTCAATTTAATCCCTGCCTACACCTTACAAACTAAGGATAAATTACTTGACTCTGTTTCAAATGCTGTCTGCCTTCATCATGCATCGTTTAACAAAGTCACCATCAGAATACGGCTTTGATGATAATGCTATTTTGCTAGCAATTAGGTAGCTGGCTTCACTGACTTGTCGCCTCTGTATGAAAGTTGAGTGCGTTTTTTCTCAGACCTGCCTGCAATTCGTTGATCTTATCTCTTCTCAAGCCGTCATATTTTTCGCTGTGAAGAGTCTCGTAGTGGGGTCGAATATTTGATTCCTTCAATACCGAAACTTGTTGCAAACACACCTAGCACATAGGTTTTCCGTGCATTTCTAAAAATAAATAGGACGTGGTCCATTATTCATTGAAAATTCTACACTCCGTATCTACTTTTCTCCGTTTGGATAATGACATGTTGGCGAATGAGGGTGTAGGGGATGGGTCGAGACGATGGTAGAAACAACGTCATAACAAGCAACAGATGGCGCATTGATACCAGTGTCTGCTGTGTTCGGTCTGTCTCAGTGACAGACTGAGACTGCTGTTGTCTTCTTCTCTGATCAAAACAATGTTGTCTTATACTCTGATCAAAACAGTTTGCCCCTTAGCGGGTTAATCCATGAATTGCATCTTATTAAAAATATTCATTCCGTGTCTTTTATGCATTTTTTCACTTTGTTTGACACCTTGCTTTAAAGAGAAGGTCACACCAGATTGAGCGAGTGCAGGAGGATTTAACCGTGCAGGGTTCGATTCTGGCTGCGGCGTTCCTGTGTGGAGTTTGCATATTCTCCCCGTGCCTGCGTGGGTTTTCTCCGGATAATTCGTTTTCCCCCCCACATTCCCAAAACATGCAAAGCAGGTTAACGGAACACTCTAAATTGTCCCGAGGTGTGACTGTGAGCGTGAATGGTTGTTTGTCTCTGTGTGCTCTGTGATTAGCTGGCAACCAGTTCAGGGTGTATACCGCCTACTGCTGAAGACAGCTGGGATAGGCTCCAGCCCGCCCGTGACCCTTGTGAGGATAAGCGGATTCGAAATTATATTATATACATTTATTTATGTTGTATTTAAAATTTAAAAAACTATTTTTGAATGTCACTTCGAATGAAGAGGCAAATCTGGGTGTCATTTTTATGTTCTGCAGGGTTGTCGGGATCTGTAACTATTAAAGTAACAACTAGTAATCTAACTTTGTATAAAATCATGTAGTCAGTAAAGTAACTAAGACAAAGTAATATTAACATATTGTTCTGCAACCTTGATGTTTGTAGCGTACGCACACATCAACCTACCTTATGAGGACCTGCTCACCAAGAGAGTCTCGGTTCCTCCTGGTATCAGTCAGCTTTTTGCTTGCGTTGAGGGCCATCCAAACGTTTGAGCCATTGATGCAACAGTCCAAGGCAGTTTGTCCTTCTCTGTTTTTCAGATTGAGGTTAACTCCATTCGACAAAAACAACCTGCAAATTTTTCAGTTTCTGTATGAGAGCCCCAAAGTACCAGCTTGAAAATATTTGTACTCCAAAGTTGGTTCTCTCTGTTGTAATCACCCAAAAGTAAGGTGTATAGTATTTCTGAAATATTCCCCATAAAGTATTCACCAGTGTTGGGAATGACTGTGTTTCAGTATAATGGCATTACTATCGGGCTTTATGTTTGAGTAATGAAGTAATCTCATGAATTCCATTAGTTGTAACGCCATTGCTGCCTCATTCTGAAAAAGGGGCACAATTCAAAAATTTAGCAAGCCTTAGGTGTTTATCCGAATTCGACGCTTAGTGCTTAACATTATTGTTTAGTATTTACATTATTGTTGCCATTAACATCATAAAAGCAACATGACTGGGAAGTCAATGTTTGTTGTGAGGTCCTCAGTCATGGTCTTCTCAAGTGGAATGCATACATGTCCAGAATCTTGTTCATCACATTTATGGTAAAGGTGGTAACAAACTTCAATGAACTAAGCTATGTTCAGAATTGTGCAGGATTAATCAATTTTTGTGTCATGGTAGATGGGATTTGAATGGATAAGCCAATAGTATTTAGTAGTATTTAGCCTTAGTATGCGTGGCGTCTGTGACACATTCATTCTGATTGGCTGTTAGGCAGGAAATGTAAATCAGTGCATGAGATACAAATCACGTTAATGGCACAAAAAAATGCATTATCTAGTAAAATAAGATCAGCAAAACCTTGCTTTTTACTGAGACTTGGTCCTGCATTTGTTCTCGATGTATTGTGTGTTGGTTCCGGATATGTGTGAATTTTGTTCTATGGACCTGAGAGTGAGGTCGGCACTGAGGAAAAACGACTTCTTAATGCATGCACGTGAATTTATACAGCAAACAATAGCTTGTGAGTAAGCCTAAACTGTATAGTTGCAGACTTGGTGGTGTGCATGTGAGTTTGCAGCTACACGCTACGCTCATCCCAGCTTATACTAGATTGTCAGTACCTGTTTAGGCTTATACTAGATTGACAGTACTGTACCTGTTTATAGCGAAGGCGTAAGTCGTAATACATAAATGTCAAAGGCCCTTTACTCCTACAAGCTGCACGTAAACGCCATTTAAGAGTAAATTAATCTAGTTTAACATGTTTGCCCTCACTGAATGGTTAATAGTTGGATGAAGCTCGCTTTACGGTGTAATAATGTACAGGGAGCACTAGCTAATGGCCAGATTTTCCTTCATTTTTTTTCACATTTAAGTTTACATGCGTGTCCGCGTTTTACACTTAAAATGCAGTGTATCAATAATATTTGCGGCATTTAATTTTTATTTTGATGAAAAAAAACTCGGTCGGCCTCACAATGCAGAAGTGCAGGGTTCGATTCCGGCTCCAGCATTACTCTATGGAGTTTCCATTTTCTCCCTGAGCCGGCATGGATTTTCTCCAGGTACTCTGGTTTCCGCCCACATTCCAAAAACATGCGTGGCAGGTGAATGGAACACTCGAAATTGTCCCTAGGTATGGGTGTGAGCACACATGGTTGTTTGTCTATGTGTCAGTGATGGCAATGGCAAGTGATGAAAAAAAAGCGGAAAGGGGCGTGGCCTGGGTGGGGCGTGGCCTGGACGGGGGCGTGGTTACTTACAAAAGTGGCACTAAGCTGCTGAAGATGAAGTGTATTGAATTTACACACTATTTGAAACTTGAACAGAAAAAAATCCCAAGATTGCCACTATTCTTTCAACTGAAAATTTGTGCAATTTTGCTTATGCATTCCTGCTGAGCACCAATATGTAACTCCAAAATTGCTGCTCAAAATCTAAATTAAAAAAGGAAATACATTCCCTGCCATATTTAAGATTTGTTCATTACTTGTATTCATAAAGTGTTGTGTAAATGTGATAAAAAGCTGTTGATTCTTACCTCATACAGTGATAGTGAAGTCCCACACTGTTTACTATATATGGGTTATGAATGTATTTTATTATATAAAGTGGATGCCTATTTACAGTACAGTAAATATTCCCATCCCCGGAATTCTATGAAAAGGAATTTCCTTCACCCGGAACAAAAACCTGTGCATGAACATTTTGACTACGATATTACATGTTACCGGAACTTACGTAA